CATCTAAATTGTCACTGAAAGAAAGTGCCACAGGTGGTGTACCGAGAGTTCGCTCATGAGCAGGACTCTCTTGCTCGGGCTCTAATTTCTCTGAAAAATGCCCTGCGCCCTTGACTTCCATTTCATTACCGTCACTAAAAGATTTGCTTGGCGTGTTTCTGCTATCAAGATGGGGTAGATCAGTAACAGCATTGCTAAAGTTATATTCTTCGGGAACTGTTTTTTTCAAGTACTGCTTCTTCTCACAAGCAGCATCTTTACCCTTCACACTCTTTACTTCACCATCTGTATCCTGACTTGCAGGAATTTCTATATTACTATATGTAGCTTTCTCGGTATGGCTTTCAATGATCTTTTGAAGTTGGTTCTTTAATGTAAACTCTGTGGTTGTAATTTCCGTTTTTATTTCGTCTGTTTTATCAGGGTGATCTCTTAGTTCTACAGAGAGTGGAAGCTGGTTGAGATCTCCAAGAGAAGCGAGTACTTCAGCTTCTTTTATCTTTGACTTCACTTGTTCGCCCACGTTTATTTTCTCTTCTAGTTCACTCGGGAGCTGGAAATCTGGGCTTTCAATTATTGGCTCATCCTCAGTGTGTGGAACCTGGATTAAATTCCCAACAAACGCAAATATTTTGGCTTCTATCTTTGACTCTACTTGTTCTTTCACTTTTATCATCTCTTCTTTCTCAGTCTGGTGCTGAAAATCTGGGCTTTCCGATATTAACGGTTCTTCAGGTAGTGGAACCTGGCTTAAATCATCAACAGAAGAAGGTACATTAGCTTCTTCTATCTTTGACTTCACTTGTTCACTCACATTTATTTTCTCTTCTTTTAGAATCGAGAGCTGGAAATCTGGGTTTTCAGATATTGATGGTTCTTCAGGGTGTGAAACCTGGCTTAAATCGCCAACAAAAGCGAATGTCTTGGCTTCTTCTATCTTCGACTCTGCTTGTTCACTAACATTTACCGTCTCTTCTTTTTCAATCTGCTGCTGGAAGCCTGGGGTTTCAGTTATTGCCTGATCCTCAGTAAGTATAGACTTTCTAACGTCACACATAAATCTCGGGAGTTCGGATTCTGTTTCGTTGGAGGATGTATGTTGTTCCTTTTCCATGAGCTCTACCTGCCTCAGTGTACTGAGGTTATGAAAATATTGACTTGCGGAATACTCTCCATCATTAAACTTGCCAGCAGTATATCCAACTGAGGATTCATAAAGATTGTGCAAAAGTTCCTTTGCAACCTCTTCCTGGATTTGTACACTCCGACCTAGAACAGTTTCTTCTTCATCTCTAATTTGTTCTACATGACTATAAAAGCTCTGCACACCAGACTCTACTGTAAGATTGGAAACAGTTTCTATTACTCCTGCTGTGTTCTCAGCAACACATTTGTATGTGCCAGCATCTGACACAGAAACTTCACCAATATGTAACCTGTAACTACCATCCTCTTCCTCCACAAACTGAAACTTCTCAGTAGGAGTTAATATTTTGCCATTTCGAAACCAAGTTACAATCGGTTGAGGTTCACCAGATATTGAGCACTCCAGTACGACAGAATCCCCTTCTCTACAATTAATATATTTTTGTGTTTCTTTCACAATTTTTGGTGGTTCATTTACCACATCAAAGGAAAATTTAAATTTATGTTTTATTGTCTGAGAAACTTGGTCCTGAGGTGATGGTTCAGGTACAAATTCAACAGGATGAACTATTTCCTTCAGTTCTTCATCTTGTTCTGGAGTCGGAGTAGGAGCAATTATTTTGATTTCCACAGGAAATGAAAGCAGGTCTGAGTCAGAAACACAAGGTATGGACAGGTTACCCTGAGGAACGTAAAGGGTGGCTTTACTTTCACTACTGAAAGCTGGTTGATTTTCTTTCATTTTGTCAAACAGAAAACTAAGTTCTTCTTCCTCTTCTGTGTAATCCTTTAATAGTTCAACTTCATCGGTGGTGAATGGTTCAGCCTCAATCCTCCCTTTAATCTTCACTTTGAGCATGCCTGATGTTGTGGCAGTTCCGTATTCATTAAATATCACGCAGGTGATGGATCCTTCATGCGGAGGGAGAACAGACCGGAAAGTCAAGGTAGACCGGCTCTCTGTCGTGTGAATGGCATAGCCCTGGTTACGTGATATGGGTTTGTCATTGTTATACCAAGTGACAATAGGTTGCGGATGGCCACGGAAATGACAGCCAAATATGCAAGTCTCTCCTTCCTTTGCTTCCTGAGATTCAATTTCATGAACAAAAAACGGGGGGGCAGGTTCCAGAAGCGTTAGAATGGGGCTCTCTGACCTGGCAGGCTTTTCCTTTATTTCACAGACTTCTACCAATGCAGACTCTCTGATTTCTGCCGAGTCTTCCAGTACTAACATTGCATTTTCTTCACCCTTTTCTGTTTGGATGCTTTCAAAAGTATCAACAGGCTCATTGATGTTTATTGTGATTGTCTCGGACATCACATTCTCCAATTTCGTACTTTCGCTTAATCCATCGCAGAGAAGCACATAGATTATAGATTCCGGGCTTTTCTTCTTGGCTGTCATTGCTTGGAACTCCTCCAGGTGTTCTTTTGGCTTGGTATCTATCCTTGAGTCCTGTGGCTCCTTGTGTGCATAACTATGGTCGATGGAGGTAGCTTTGGCAATTGGCTCTGGTTGCTCTAATGGAGGGTCTCCCCGAAACTGCTCTCTCGTTGGTTCTTTCAGTGTTATTAGTGATTTTGTCTGGAATGTTTCTGCCGCGATGCTTCCTCCAGGAAAGTCCCGAGGACTCTGGGAGGGTTTGGAAAGCCCCAGTATTCGTTCCATTCGTAGGTGAAAGTCCTCCGGCATCCTAACAGGCTCTGGTTTAGGATGGTGCGCGGCACCCTCCTCACCGCATGGCATTTTGGGTGAAGAGGTGCATGTATGGATTGGTTTTATTGTCTGGAAGTCAGAGCGTATCGCCTCACTCTCTATGGCCCAATGGACTGGAGGGGTCCCTCGGTCTTTACCATCTCTAAAGTCTCTGGTTCGCACTGATTCAAGGCGTGACTCTGTCTCGGTCTCTGTCTGTGACAAGCTCAGTTTCTTCTTTTCCAGCATGGTTCTTTTGGCCTCCCGCAGTCGTTGCAGCTTAATTTTTATTTCCTCATCAAGCAGAGCATCACTTCCATGATCCTTGTGCCTTGCGGTGCGTTTGCTACCTACCTGTTCTTTATCGTACACGAACTCCTGTCCCCTTAACACGGGGAGTTTTGGAAAGCTTATGGTTCGCACCATCCCCTTTGCAGGGGGCAAGTCTCTTAACATCTTTTCAGTCTCCTGCCTTTTATCGAAAGGAGAGCCAATGCACCGCAGGTAAACCTTCAGCCTACCTTCTTTCCTCTTCTGAACCAGACATTCAATACTCTCATGGGTTCGTTTGGACTTTCTCAGGAAATCTAAATATTTTGCATTTTGCTCCTCTCTCTGTGCAACTAGCAGCGAAGCGGTTGACTCAGCTGAACCCTCACTGTTAATGGCAAACACTTTGTAGCTCCCAGAATCCCTCTCCCGAACATCTCTAACCTCTAGGCTGGAGCTGTGGAAATGCATATCACTCTCCATCTTTATTATTCTACGCAGCTCTTTAGGGATAGGCCTATTATTATGAAACCATGTAATTGCGGGGGTTGGACAGGCAACGAGTTTACATTGGAAAACTGCGGGATCCCCCTCTAAAACAGATCTAAACTTCAACTTTTGGGTGAAAGAAGGTTTAAGAGTCTCAGACCAAGAACTTATAGACGAGGTTCTACTTGCACATCTCTGCACAGACACAAATCCATGGTCTAAGTGGTCTTCAGAATCGGAGAAAGCGTCTCGCATCTCGCTTCGCTTTTCAGGACATCCAGGCTCTTCCGCGAAGAACAGTTCTGTAAGAGAACAACATACATTACATTACAGCGTACTCTGTTGCTTCTCTCATACATTTGAAAAATGAAAAGAAATGAAATGGCAAGATATTAAATTAAATTGGGGGCATGCTACAGATTTCATCACAAATCCAGAAAAAATATTCACTCACCATATTTGTTCGAATAAACGCAATGCCTTGCTCTGTTTTAAAGATTCTGACACGAAAATCGTTCGTTGTCTGTTCTTTCTTCAAACTGTGGACATTTCTTCTTGAACAAGCAAAAATGAATTTCAAAATAACATGTTCCTAGGGGTGTATGGTTTTGCTGCCCGAAAAGCTTTGTGTCTTTTGTTGGCAAAGAAGAAAAATCTTACCTGACTTGCAGACAGTAGAATAAACGCCCTTTCTGATCCCTTTGATTATGGTAAAATGTTCAAACAATTGAGAAAAAATATTTTGAAAGATATATAAAAATGTAGCTGTAAGTAATTAGCTAAAAATGAAATGAGAAGGCGTTTATTCGAACTAATACAGCCACTAACTTCACAACGTTATGCAAAAAAAGCAAGCAACATGGACCACATATGCTATCTGCAAGCCAGTGTAAGAAATGTATAGTGACGAATTAATGTATGTACATGAGGTGCGAGGATACAATGGGAATGTGTAGCTTTCACATGTCCTAAGTAACATTCATTTTCTATTATACTCCATCCTTTGAATGATTGTTAGGTTGCTTACTTGTTTAAAAAATCATGTCATTAAGATTTTTATACCTTCGTTTTGATTTAAACCATCCCATGCACTAACAAGAGAGTTTAACAAATAAAAGCTTACGCAGTAAACAGCTGCATAGCACGAAGTAGAAGTTAAAAGTACAGCTGCATAATTATAAATGTAAAGTTTTAAACTGATTTTAAAACTTAATCTTATAATGTGGGTAACCCTTAGCATATTAAAACAAAACATGCAGCATATTCAAATATGCTCCAAAGTGTATTTTACTTTTCCTGTCATACGCTGTATGTAAGCAAATAAAAGTTTCTAACGATTTACTAATTTTTTTATTCTAAATCAGTGCTTCAGCGTAACATCCATTTGTGACTGTACCTTTCACTTCCATTTCAATCTGTTTTTCTATCTTCTCTTGAATAACTTTTTCTGGAGCTAGAATAAAATAGAGATTATTGTGATCAATTAACGCATCAATTAATGGGTTGTGAAGTTGAAACTATGAATATCTGTTGCAATGATACAAAAAATCCACACACACATACATGAGTACATGCCAAAACAACTCAAACACCTGATAAATTTGACGAAACAGTGATCAGATGCTTCAAAACGTATTTGTATTGTATACTTGTCTACAACTTTTTATGATTTTTGCCTGTAATTTACCATGCCTTTAACATGCCTTAAAGACCAGGAGGCAAACATTCAACAATCCACAGATAAGTGATATTTTTCTTTCTTTAATGTTTCCCATGGGCTGAATGTACTTGAATGCAATGATGGTATGCAAGAGGAATTTATGTTTGGAAAGAACATGCAGTTGCCAACCTGTCACTCTCAGATGAGTGCTGCACTCGGCTTGTCCTGCAGAGTTAACTATTCTGCACTTGTATATACCCCTCTGATTCTGAACAACTTTCAGTAATTTTAAACTGCACAGTGGCCCATCGTGTTTTAAGGAACATAATGCAGACTCCTCAACTATTAGCTGATTGTACAGCCAAATCACACAAGGAGTAGGCACACCCTTTATTACACAAAAGAGTGACACATCATCTCCTTCTTTTACAATAGTTTCTGGGAGCAGAGTTTCAAGAAATACTGGTACTTTGGCACCAGTTTCTATGATCTCTTCGCATGGCACGACATCAGGGTAGTAGTCTCCGTTCCTTTGTTTTTCAGTTCCTTGTGATCTTTGAGCTGAAGTGATTAACATGCTTGATGTTTCCTTTGAAGACTCTTCCTTAACTTCGGAGGTTGTTTGAATCTGAGACTCTTTGACTGTTTTAGTGCTTTTAGTATCTGAGTCAAGCGTAATTTTTGTTACTGCTTTGGCGTGTGCTTCTTTAGCTAGGTAAGAATAAAGTTAGGAAAAGCATTAGATTAGATGGTTGGCAGGACTAAAACACCCTTATACTTAGAGAAATAAAAATAAAGGGTTTCGTATGGAAAATAAATGTTCAGCATGTTAGTGCTCAAACTAAAAATAAACTGAAATATATGAGTTATGACACATTTAAGGGCTCTATTCATGCTAGGCTAAAGGAAGGTCCCAATTAAGTCAGTAGGATGTTTACCATTGAGTTAAGAGGGACTACGACTTGGTCTGTAATGACTAACACAAGCAAGCACATCTTTAATTTTAATAGGGCTGTCAAACTAATACAAATAATCGCAATTAATCGCAAGATTAAAAAATAGTTGTGATTAATCACAGTTTTAATCGCATTGCTAAACAATAGAATACCAATTTAAATTTATTGTAAATATTTTGGATGTTTTTCTACATTTTCAAATATATTGATTTCAGTTGCAACACAGAATACAAAGAGTACAGTGCTCACTTTATATTATGTTTGATTACAAATATTTGCACTGTAAAAAGATAATCTACAAATCAAGCATGAAAGGGCATATGAATGTTTAGCATATCTGGCACAAATACCTTGCAACACCGTCTATAAACATTGCCATGAAAACACCTATTCTCACTTTCAGGTGACATTGTAAATAAGAAGTGGGCAGCATTATCTCCCGTAAATGTAAACTCACTGTGTTAGTGATTGGCTGAACAAGAAGTAGGACTGAGTGGACTTGTAGACTCTAGAGTTTTACATTGTTTTGTTTTTGAGTGCAGTTATATGAAAAAAATAATTCTACATTTGTAAGTTGCACTTTCACGATAAAGAGATTGCACTACACTACTTGTATGAGGTGAATTGAAAAATACTATTAATTTTGTTTCTTTTTCACAAATATTGGTAATAAAAATAATAATATAAAGTGAACACTGTACACTTTGTATTCGGTGTTGTAACTGAAATCAATATATTTGAAAATGTAGAAAAACATCAAAAATATTTATAATAAATTGAAATTGGTATTCTATTATTTAACAGTGCAATTGAAACTGTGATTAATTGTGACTTTTTAAATCTAGTTAATTTATTTTTGCATTAATTGCTTGTGATTGACAGCCCTAATTTAAATCAAAGGTATTTCCTTTGAATGTTGAAGGTAACTGCAGAAGATCATGTAGAGACAACACTTTACGTAGATTGACAGGAAAGAAAGGACTTAACTGGTGTGTAAGAGCCAGATAAATGGTGCATGGCAAATGACTTAATGTTCATGCTGCTGTTGCTCCTTGTCATCTGAGTTCATAAAAGCAGCTATCACATTATCTAAGGTGAGCAGTGCCAAAGGAACAAGAGGCCCATTCTGGGTCTACAGGAGTCAAGGAAATCAATGTCTATACTCCAAAGATGTTATTACATGTGCAGAAACTGCTGATATTTTAATGCACCAGAGTAATGGAAAAGGGGGAAAGGAATACTACAAGTAAAAAACAACCAACAGGTGTGGAGGAAGACTGTGTAGGTCATTAATATAGTCTTGGGAAAGAGAGGCTCCTAAATCCAGTAGACAAGTGAGGACTTTATAGCAATGAAGAGACATGTTCAGGAGTAAAAAACAGACCTGTATGTAGGGTGTTTGCAGAAAACATGCAAATAAACTGCTTAAAATATGAACCCTTGCAAATATGTAGCACCTTCTGTGCCACTCAAGATGTGCAAACTGAAATGGCCTAGAGTCTGGGTTAATTTGCTCATCTAACGTTCCCCCCTTTCCTTTATTTAAAAAGGAATTTATCTCTCAAATTCCAACTTCAGAAATCTGCATAAGTTGCAAAATTAAATTGGTTCCTTCTGTCCTGTTCTTTGTTTTGTTCCAGGTGGACTCTTCCCACCAAGTCAATGTCTCACTGCATATCAGTGGCTTAAATTGATAAATTGATGAGTAGAAATTCCATTTGGCTGCAACTTGCTGGGAACAGCCATGATGCACTTCTCAAGCAAGCTATAAAACTCTCTGCCTGGTGCTGCAAAAGACATTTATGAATAGAGTCTTAAATGTGAAAAAGAACTTAAAATACAGCTTTCTAAATTAAATACTAGTGTTAGGAAATGTGAGTGAGCTATTCGCAGAGATCATTAGGTTGAAATGAGATAAGTCATAATGTTAAAAATCAAATATCCACCTTCTACTGTTAGTACAGCAGCGGTTGTCGTCTCTCCATGATCATTGTACACAGTGCATCTGTACAGTCCTTGATCTAACAGTTGGACATTTATAATTGTGAGTAATAGGACAGTTCCATTTTGTGATAGCTTCACTCGTTTGGACTCTTTTATCCTTTCACCTTCATGGGTCCACAGAACCTCTAAAAAGTGTTCGCTTTCTAAAGCACAAATGAACTGTGCGGTATCGCCAAATTTCACAGTTTGGTCACGGAGTTTCAGGAGAATATTTGGGGAAGCCTCTCTCATTTCCTGAACAGCAGCAGCGGATACTTTCATTGTGCTTTGTGATGTTTGTGAAAGGACTGTTGTATGGAAGGTTTCTGTTTCTTTCACTGATGTAGCTTTCATGGTTAAACTTTCTGATAGAGTTTCCAAAACCTGCACACCCAGTTGGTACGATGGTTCTTGCACTGTTTTAATTTCTTTTTTATAAGCCTGTGTCTCCTTCTTTGCGAAAGGGGAAGCAACATGAACTTCTGATATTGCCTGTGACTGGATAGACTCTTTTACATCTTTCCCAGAACTTTGCCTATCTATGGCTTGCACTGTGTAATCAAGTAACAAAAAAATAACAATATTAACAACTAACATAGTTTAATGGGCCAACATAAGAACAAAATAAAATGGTATGGATAATGAGTATGAAAGATATCTTCATGGGAAAACTCAGCATGCCAGATGCATTATGCTCTTGACACAAAAGAAAATTCATTCATGTAGATGAATGGAAAATGACTTGTACTCATGCAGTTGATACACAGCTGATGTTCGTCTCTTCTTTTCACTGAAGCTGTCCATTCCAATATCAAATAATCTGTTATGATACTCTTTAAGGATGTATTTTCTGCTAGCTTTTACAGCCCAGTGTAGAGCATATGAGACAATGGTGTGACTATCACCAGCTCTCTGGTTTAAAGTGTGTACTTGCGTAGTTTGATAAAAGGTCTATATTTTCTATATATAGGACACAGTTTTGTGAGATTTTAAATTATATGACATTTTAAAGTAGAGGAAATGACAGTGGTTTATTGGTTACAGCTAATACTACCAACATTAGTGAACTAGCTGCTAACTAAAAGGTGTGAAAAGAGGAAAGGAGGTAATTAGTAACAGTGGTATACAACAAACTGAATCCCTTTGAACAAAAATGGGGCTTTACCTTCGGCAGTCACTGTAAGTGTAGCTGTGCAAGTTGCTTCTCCAGCACTATTTCCTGCTTTGCAAGAGTATTGGCCAGCGTGCTCTAAAAAAGCATCTACTATTATCAGCATAGCTGTGCCTGTAGACTCATCAAAATGGAAAACTATATCTTTTGTTGGCAACATTGGCTGTTGGTTATGAAACCATTGGATTTCTGGTTTTGGCATGCCAGAGACCCTGGCTTGAAATCTGACTGATTCCCCGCTGCATACCCTGCAGCTTGAAATAGGCTGGATAAAGGTGGGCCTTTGGCCAACAGGCTCCTTCTTAAGTGAAACTGATGAAGAAACATGCCATTGGGACTTTGATGTAACTTCTTCAACCTTTTTAAATCCTGAAAAGAAGCATGTCAACTTTTAATTTCTTACCCTACGCTACAATCAAAGTTCTCTCTCTCGTAATTTTTTTCTCTTTTTGGCCTGGCAATTTTACAATATGAATCACTAATTCCATAGTTTACAAATTATGTTGCAAAAATAAAAATAAATATATTTCTGGTTAAATAACACTAAGAACCACAAGATTAAAATAACAAACCCTCTAGACCATTTTCTGTTCTGAAATTTGTGATCAATATTTTCAGAATGCATAATAGTGCAAATTTATTTTCTCATTTGCACAAATCTGGGGCACACCCTTGTTTAAGATTTTTTAATGTTTCTTAAATGAAAACATTTTATCAATACCAAAACTCTTTAGAGATCTTTACTAGGCAAAGGCTTGTTAAGTGAATAAAAATCTGTTTAATAGACTTAGGTTAGGGACAAGGATTCTACCTTGTTTGAGGCATGCTGAATGCTGCTAATGAAAAGAATTGAAAGGTGAAGTGCATGAAATGTTGAAAAACTGTGAAACAAACTTCACTGTGCATGACCTATGTCTTGGAGATGGAAGTGGATGTTGTGGACATTGCAAGATGATACTGATTAATTGAATTAAAAGACATGACATGACATGACAGTGACTCACATATATTTATTAATGAATATTAGTATGGGCACACAACCTATTTTAAAACATTATTTCTTTTGTAATTGCACATTGTACCTTCCAACTTCAAGTTAGCAGTACTTGTCACTTGGCCTATAGAATTACTAGCAACAAATGTATAAATTCCTTCATCTTCTGGATAGGCTTCTGAAATCTCCAACTGGCAAGTGTCTTCAAAATGAGTCATTCTAAAGAAACGGGATGGCTTGATCTCCTTATCTTTACAATACCAAGAGATTTTCAGATCTGATCAAGTAAAATAAAAAAAGAAATGTAAGATTAAGATACAATGTCTGTAGGTAAATACTTTAAAAATACACAAAGTAGAAATCACTTATATCACAGCTTTTTGAAGTTGAATATATAATGTACAATAAGACTAGTTTAAAGACATGTAGCTTATTGGTTATTTTATATTTCCAGCTTGGTAGTATGTAGGAGGGAAAACTTATTTTGTTACTCCTACATTCAGTGATTAACTGGAAATCTCGCTCTCTCTTTCTCATTCTTGATATCTTTGAAATAGCAGAGGCAGAGTAGGCTTTCAATATTGTCAGTGAGCATGAAAAATGAAAGATCCCAGCGACTATAACTTGGCATCATATTTTAAGTAGAAATCTCCATTGAGAATTCATCTGGGAGGGTAGGTGAAGAAATATGGAAGGATCAGCTCAGATGCGGGAGCTCAGCTGATGGCTGTAGGAGCATGAGGGAGAGCAGAGGTGCTGTACATGGGAGGAGGGTAGCATGGAGTCTGTGCCTGGGAGCCAGGCAAAGAGGTCTGGTGGCTGCTGGAGGTGACTGAGAAGGGGAGGAGTTGGATACTGGCATAGGGAAGGAGCAGAGGAAGCTGTAGGGAGTCCATTTCCCTTTCATTTCCAAGCATGCTCCATTTTACAGAATCTGATGCATGCTAAGACACATGAATATAGGTGGCTCTTTAGGGCTGCATCAACAGTACCCCAGATAATTTCCCTGAATTTTGTTTTTTTAAAAAGTGCTGCAGCTATTAATTATTATTATTACGGAGAACTGATTTTATTTTATATTTATCTTAAATCTCAAATTCTCATTTAAAACTGATCATCTAGTAGGCTACAAAATGACTGAGCTGATCCCAACAATTCAAACAAATGACAATAGTAATCTGTTCTCTGAGGAGGGGAGTGCATGGCTTATTTTTCTATCTGAGTTCTGAGAAACCTCCAGTTTTTCATATCCCTAATCCTCTAGACCTTAGGGCCAGAGCCTCAGCTGGTGGAAATCATCGTCGCTGAGGATCTGTTTTAGTTGTACTGGCCTGTGTGAAGCTTTTTAATGCCAGTCCTTAACTGACAAGAAAGGTCACCGTTGAGTCCAGTGAGATACCTTCTTGTCTAATGCATGAAGCCTGCTGTTTTTCCCAGATCTTATAAACCTTGCCAGCTTGGGGAAGAAGAGGCCAGCACCAGTCATCAAACCTGGCAGTGAACTACATCACTAACCACGCTGATCTGGCATATACAATGTACTTTAATTGTTTTTGCTGCTGTCATTGTAATAAAGATGCAGTGTTTTCAGGAAACAGTACTGTAGTGTACGCAATTTGAAAATATATTTTCAATGCTAGTATATTAGCTAAGCTAATATAAAATATTTTCATGCTGTATTTGAGAAATATCCAAATTCATTCATATACAATACAAAAAGAACGAGAACTGCCAGGACAACTCCCCATGTGCTGTGCTGCAAATGTACCTCTCAGTCATCAACATGCACATAAAGATAGTATACACACACACACACAATTGTGGCATGCTTTGTGTAGCTGTAATTAAGATGTCAGTTCCAGTATAAACTCCTATGTGTATTTTCTGAGTCTTACCACAATTTTTATCATGGAAGCAGATTTGTTTTCTAATCTTTTTCCAACTCAAGAATTGCACTTGTAAGTGACAGGAATGCAAAAAGAGTAGATGCTACTCATTTTATGCACATTTTTGCATTTCTTGCAAGGTGCCACAAGTACTCCTGTTCTTTTTGCATTTCTGTAACTCAAAAATTATTTAAATCTGGACCTTGGTCCAGGGGTTCTCAACCTTTTTCTTTCTGAGCCCCCCCCCCCCCAAACATGCTATAAAAACTCCACGGCCCACCAGTGCTACAATAACTGGTTTTCTGCATATAAAAGCCAGGGGCAGCATTTGGGTGTAGCAAGCAGGGCAGTTGTGTGGGGTCCCATGCCACAGGGGTCCCTGCAAAGCTAAGTTGCTCAGGCTTCGGCTTCAGCCCCAGGTGGCAGGGCTGGGAGCCTTGTGCTTGACCTCTACCCAATGGGGCTTCAGCTTTCTGCCCTGGGCCCCAGCAAGTCTAACACTTCTGTGCTTGGCGGCTCCTTGAAACCTGCTTACGGCCCCCCAAAAGGCCCTGGACCCCTGCTTGAGAACTACTGCTATAATCTACTGTAAACTCTTTGGGACAGGGACTGAATCTTATACTGTTTTATGCTAGGCACTAAGTATCTCTACAGTAATATGTGAATGTTTTATTATTATTATTAATAGTTCCCAAGACTATGTGGGGTAATAATAATAATAATAATACTGCAGTTTAATTTAACAAACTAGCTACTACAGTGTCATGGGCAAAAATGTTAGTTATAAGATGGTATTTATTTAATTAAAACATGGTAAATTTATATAAGGAAAGTCTATTTTGAATAAGTGTAAATTAAAAAAACCCTCTGATGCTGGGATAAAACAAAAATGCTAATTTTCATATAATATTTTTAGTTTAATGTTTCCATGAATGGTACTGAAAATGGTACATCCTGGGGATATTAAGCGTTTCAGGGTGAAAGTCAGGGCAGATTTTTGACCTGTATCTTTTTAAAATGGTGTGTCAGTAGGTGGCACCAGAAGGTTTGCTCATTGTTCATGCTCATTTATAGGATAATGCTTTCCTCAGCATTGCAGTTAGGGCTTCAAAGCTCTGCCATATCACTGCACTGACAGTTTTAAATGTCATGTAGCAATCAGTACTCTGAAAAGCATTACAAAGGTTCACATCTGATTAAAAATGTCAGAACTACTGAGCCCATGACCACCCATTAAAACACTGCTTAGCTTTAGGGGACTCTTAAATTTCATGTCTGCTGGCAGATATGAGATAGTTTTTTAAATTGCTAGCTGCCAGTCAATTATACAGGCAACACTGTACTTCCTACATATATCTGCTAGTTACACAGTCCTCATAAAGGCAGATTTCAGCTCATATGCTATTAGATTTGCTTTCAGTATCAGCTGAACAATTCTGATATAACAAAAATTGTATACAATTTCATTAAACTAACCTGTCCCTGTAACTCTGCACTGAAAACATGCAGATTGTCCCTCAGAAGTAACAACATCTCGAAGTGGTGTTATAAGAGTAGGTGGATAAACTGGCACTTCTAGATCAGGAGAAACAACTTCCGGGACTAAAGGAAGAGATCAAAAGTTTAGACCGCATGGAAGAGCACACATCACAAAATATTGACAATACCATTTCAAATACACTTTAAGGAACTTGGGAAACTTACCTTCCACTGAAAGTGAAGCTGAAGTAGTGGCAGCTCCATAGTCATTCTTTGCTTCACATGTGTAAACTGCTGCATCTTCAGGGAAAGTCTCAATCAACAATAGAGTGTATTCTTGTGCGTCATGAAGAAACTTGCATTTAAAGCCTGCAGAAAGCTGCTGCTCATCTTTATACCAGGAAATTTTGGGCTGGGGTCTACCTGATATTATAGCACAAAAGCGGGCAGGTTTACCAGATTCCACAGTGGTGGGCTGAAGCTCCTGAATAATATGGGGTGGCTCTGGAGCTGCAGATTAAAAAAAAAAGGATCTAAATATGTGTTGCTTATTGAAATTATTAAAAATTTAGTAAGATCTCTTACTCTGCCAAACAAAAATACTATTGTCAAGTGGTCAGATTCCACAA